TTATAATCTCATATAGTACAAAATATTTTTTAAGTTTTATTACACTGGAAGTCTCTATTGGTTTCTATTTGTGCCGCTTATAGCAAAGTTGCTGACTCTACTATCCAGAAGCTACAAGTTGCTTAAAGTTAGGCTCTCTGAAGGTTCTTCAAAGTGCCATTGTACATCCACATGAATGACATGCTAAGAGACCTTAAAATAGATCCGGTCAAAAATACATAAGGAACAGAGCTCTGCAGCTATATACGAAAACTGACAGGCTGCCCTACTTAGCTCTATCTAATCTCAGAGTAATCACTAACCGCACGGGGCGGTACGCAAATTTTAGATCAGTCATTGAATAATTACGAAGATTATGAGGAATACTCAAATTAGTCAGTGAGATGGATGACACTCTGCAGAAACCCCCCAGCTATCAAAGAGTAAAAAGGCTCAACAACAACAACTTAAGTAAATAAACTAAAGCCAATAACATATATTCATCCAAATATATAATCACTCTTATGTATAATATCAAATGATCTACCATGTACAGATAATGTTATAAGGACCGATGGTAACTGATAATAGGAACGTATCATGATATGGCAATGTATATGGAGTTGACGCATTGGACTCATAATTAACTTGCATTGGCGCTGTAGACCTAAATGCAGCGGACTTAGGACTGACCCGGTGAAATATTTAAGCTAGATATAGTGATGGTTTAATGCAAAATTGAAAATGAAAACAGGATCAAATGATAGTGTTGAGCCAATGGCGATATTGATTATTATGTCAATTTTTTTATATTTCACCATGTATACTCTAATTATATTCTAAATGTGATAAATATAATTATTTTTATTATAACTTAAACAAAGAATTAAAGTTTGTATTTAATTATATGAAATGTACAACTGAAATTTAACTCAATGCAAAAATAAAATAATAAATAAAATCTTAAAAATTTTAATTAATTGAAATTTAATAATGCAAAAGCTATTACTATTAATACTGCACTTTTCATCTACGAAAAACACATTGCAGTGCAAAATAAAGTTTAATTGATAACAACAATAACAACAAGTTTATGCTTTACTTGGTAATGAAAAAAAGACAACAACAAATACCAAATTACAAAGCATTTAAGAAAGTGAAGGTAACAGAATTATATGATGCAGAAACTCCACTACTAAGCGCAAGTGGAGATTTATTATTTTCCATATTGACAAGAGCTTTGATATTATTCGATCATTTTCTTTTTGCTTTAATTATTCTCTCCAAAATCAATAAATATATTACATTTGTTTTTGTCTTCTGTTATGCTTTGATATCAAAGCAGTCATTTTTTTTGCTTCAGTTATTTTTTACCTTTGCGGTGGTGTCAGTGCAAATGATATTTAAGTTTTTTACGCATTGATGTAAAATATTTTCTTTTAGTGAATTTAATTAGTTTTTCATATAAAAATTATAAATAT